TACGTATGTCCTTCTCCTGTGTACACAATCCTATATGTTTTACTTATGTTCCTATATATTGGGCCTCTCCTGGGGCACGAGCCCTTGGTGTTTTACGTGTGTTCCTATAGATTGCCCTTCTCCTGTGGTTCTAATCCGCAATGTTTTATGTACGTCTGTTGCTATAGATTGGGCCTCTCCTGGGGCACGAAACCTCCTTAGGTCCCAGGAGGCCCAAAGAGGCTCCTGGAGACCCCAGGAAGCCCCAGTAGGTTTCAGGAGGCCCCAGGAGGTCCCAGGCTCATGCGCAGAGACGCGCTCGTACTACTGAGGCTCATTCACACTCCAATTCACTCGCAGTTAGATTCATGTCCAGACCGTCACAACTGAAGCCCGTTTATGTTCGAAAGCTCTTGCGCCTAGACATTCACGGCGGACAGGTCCATGCGAATAGATGCACATATGGGGAGCTCCACGCAGTGAATAATTTTTTACTATTTTTGAATCTTCCTCCTGTAGAGGGACAGGCCCGACTTAAGACTGCCCTGGCCCGCCTCCGCACCTGCTGCACGTCGCCGAACGTGGAACCAGCGCCTCACGCGACGGAGGGCCCATACTCGCGGGCGCGCAAACGTGGATTAGCGATCCATGGATTTGGCGCGCGGTCGCCAAATCCATGGATCGGGAGACCTGCGCTCCCCAAAATGCGACCGGTGCAGCCTCGCTCGGCGGCTGGAACCGCGATTTCCAAGGCAAGCGGGACCCGTCGCTAATCCACGCCCCCATTGATCCATGTTTGCGATCGCCTGATTTTTCTTTTTCGAACTCTCTCCCCGTGCCTCTCCTCGAGTGGCCCCCGCAGCTCTGAAACTCTAGGGGCTGAGCCAACAGTCCCGACATGCCACCTCGCTGGGAGGTCGCCAACCAACCACTAATCCACGCCCCCTCGATCCATGTTCACGATCGCCTGACATACTCCTGCCTGCCGCGTCGCCAAACTCGCGGATGGACTCTCCCTGGGCCGCCAGGGGGCCAGCACGGGCAGCGAGGGCCGGCGGCACCCCCCCCGCCCGTCGCGCACGAGGCCCCGCGCAGGTCAGGGCGCGCTCCAAGACGGCCCAAGATGGCCGTATGTCGGGCGTCTCCCTCTACAGGAGGAATATTCAAAAATAGTCCAGAAATAGTCGGGGGACGATTTTTCTATCATTTTCTGACTATGTTTCTAGATTTGCGATTATGTAATACTTTTCCTCGAGAATCTGCCTGTAGGAGGACATGCCCGAAATAAAGATAGCCTCCATCCTTGTAACTGCCACAAACTTTCAAGACGATCGCGCGCGGCGCCGAGGCGAGAGCCTCGTTTACAAAATCCACACCCCTCCATCTTTCTACTTGTCGCGAGCTTTTGAGACCTATATGCGCAGCGCTAAGTAAGGCGAGAGCCCCACTTTAAAAACGAACCGCCCCGCTTCGTCGTTCTGTTTTCAAGACGAATGCGCCCCAATTGAAACAGGGATCGCCTTCCATCACTGCAACTGCTGCAAACTGTTGTGCACGGCGCTAAAGCGAGAGCCCCGTTTTAAAGGGAAATCGTCCTCAATTCCTAAGCTGTTGCACAACTCAAGCTTCAGGAGCATAAATTGCGAGGACGTCTTAGGCATAACGCGTGGCCCGCCCTACCAACACGCCTGGAGGCGCGACAGAGAAAAAACATGTACAAGGAAAAGGATGAAGCACGGAGAGAAAAAAATGGAGGGGAAGGCAGGGAAAGGGAGGGGGAGGAGGCGAAGGAGGGAGAGAGGGAGGAGGAGGTATGAGGGAGGAGCAGGAGAGCAAGTAGAAAGGAGGGAGGCGGCAGGGCGGAAGCAGCCCTGGTGCCGGGAGCGCGGTGGACGGAACGACGACCACCACCACCACCGCCACGATGACGACGCCGACGCCGACCGCGGCGGAACGCGCCGGCGGTGTGGGCACGGGGGGCCCCCAGAGGCCCCCAGGAGGGCCGGGAGCTCCCCAGGAGGCCCTCGGAGCCTCGGAGCCCCTCTCGGCTCCCCGCCCTGGCGCGCGGAATCTCGGCCAGCGGAGACGCCGCTGCCCGCGCCGCGCGCGCGCGCGCCTCAAGCGGCGGGCTCCGCATAGGCGGCGCGCCACGGGCCCCGGGGCCCGCCGCCCTCCAGGCGGGAGGGCGGCGTCGTGCACGGCGCGTGCCGCGGGTCTCGCCGGCCAGGCCGAGCGGGCAGGGAGGCTGCCCACGAGCGGTCCACCCCCTTTCAGGGCAGCCTCGTTGGCCTCGTCATCCTGCTCCGCCTCATCCTCCTCCTCCTCCTCCTCCTCCTCCTCCTCCTCCTCCTCCTCCTCCGCCTCTCCTCTCCTCTCCTCCTCCTCATCCTCATCCTCTCCTCATCCTCTCCTCCTCCTCCCTCCTCCTCCTCCTCCTCCTCATCATCATCATCATCAGCAGCAGCAGCAGCATCAGCATCATTATCATCATCAGTATCAGCATCATCATCAGAATCATCAT